GATAAACCTCGGAAAGTTTAGGATATTAAATAGGCTATGCTGCAAATGTGAAAGGATCCTACACTAGATTTGAAACTTGAATTCGTAAACAATTTGCCGATTCCGAAATTAGCATTGCTTTTGATTGTAAAATTCATGCAAACCTACACCTACCGTTGGGCCTACTCGGTAAACTCATCTTGGCAACACGATAAGATTGGTCTGCCTTGCTCTGGTGATGTACGGCGGGAAAACCCAAGTCCAACCAAAAGCTACTCAAAAACCTTAACTCCCTGCTTTTCAGGTAGAGCTGAAACTTGTATTAACATGGAAGTCGCCATTTTCCTATAATGACATTCGGCGAGCGTTTGGCTGTTCCGGTCCCAGTGTTCGAACAGGAGTAAGGTTTCAAATTATGCTTCCCAGAGTGGACACATCCAGACTCTGGCTCTGATCCGTCAATGAAGTTAAGGCAGAAGAGAGTCTCAACCAATAAGGTTATGATCCCCTTTGGATGCAACTCTCTGCATATGATAAAAAATTATTTTCGGTCTACAATAAGGGACGAGTCATACAAGGTTGCTGATGCTGAAGCGTCGAGACGGCAGCCAAATCAGTACCTTAGGCCAATACTGGTGGAATCCTCAGGATTCCCATGATGTGTCTCCAGCGAAAATTGTAGGCATGAGTTGTGTGGATGCTGTTGGAAGCCAATTTACGGGAAAGAATGTGCAGTACAGTAGATTCGAATTCCCCCCCCCCCCCCCAAGATTGGATAGTTACTATTGGCATGATCATAATAGGATTTGCTTGCTCCTTATGGAAGCTAAATCCATCAACTGCGCACATTCGACGCTTTCATGCAAGGACGATGTGCAACTTGGCCCTTGCTGGCAACATGTAATGAAAATACATTCAAAGACGTCCTTCTGCACTTCTACGTAGCCAGTTATACAACATCAGAATAAACAACGGGTTTGATTGCCACTCTTACTCCCTAAAATCTGAGCTTTAATATATTCCCTCATCCTAAGATGACACAATGCTCAATGTTGCTACACATTAGAAATTCAAGCAACGAAAAATGGATCTGGCTGAAAACATCTAGATCCGCACCTAATCAGAAAATGAATGAAAATTTCGTGAACTAACGCGTGTCCGCAGACTAATGGACGAAGACACATCTGATTGCATTCTCGATGGAGTCTGCCTCCCCAGCAATCCCCACATTTTCCCTCGCAAATGTGCCTGCAACCAGGGAGCTCCTTTGAACAAGGAACTTTACACAATTCCAACAGCTCCTTCAGGTCAATATTTTTCCTTGAATCGCAGCACGGAACGATGACAGCATGGCCACAACTGGAAAAGGAATTACACCATGAGACCGTCTCCAGACGAAGTTAAGAACAGTAGGCTTTTTATTTTTATACTCACATAGATGGAGTATATCCACAGTATGGAACCAGGACCTTGCACTGCATTGTGCATACTTCTCTACACAAGTTCGAGCACGAATGACCGCAACTAAGCGTTCTTTCACAAGAGTATGTGCAATCCTCTCTCTTCGGAATCGACCAACATTCCACCTCCACCTCATGACCGCAGCCAGGAATGGTCTTCTTAACCCGCCTCTTGCATAGTCCACACGCATCACTGCACTTGAGACGACATCGATGTCCACAGGGTAAAGCTCTATTGCATTTCTGCATGCACTTATACGCATTGGCATTAAAATGGCAAGGAAGTTTCTCTTCATGTCCGCAAGGCAAGATGCGATCCATTACCACCATACATGGGGGACAAGGGTATATCCCACACTTCGCTTTGCACTTGTGTTCCTCGTTGCACATTCTTTCGCATGGCTTTTGACAGTCGTACTTGATATGCTCTGGATCATCCTGAACGTGACACTTTCGATTACACTGATGTCCACATTCCAAGCGTGCGACACAGGGAATCTGACACTGCACCTTATCGGGATCAAGATGACAGGGCATTTCATTTGAGTGTCCACATGCTGGGATCGTCTTGACTATGGGGATTCGACAAGGATTACAATTCTCCCAGCACCGTTTAGCACAGTCATGGGTGCCTGCAGGGCATTTCTTCAAGCAACTCTCATTGCACCTGAGTGACTTGTGTTCTCGATCATAGGCATGGCACGCCTTTGGACATACGTGGCCACAGAACATCTTCACTTTGCACTGTAAGTGACAACCTCCACCAGGAGGGAAGTGACATGGAAGAGAAGCCCTGATAATCTGATCCCTATGAACAGAACATTGGAGCTCCAACTCGGTTCCGATTGCTTCCTGTTTCTCCAGAGCTTCCAGCATCTTTTTCCAAATCTCAGATCCACTGCAGAGTGAATCCATGTTTCCCACAATGTACAATCCCCATTTGGCTCTCGACAGAGCAACACACACACGATTCTCCGTCTTCAGAAACCCAATCTTCGCTTCTTCATTACTCCTGACAAGCGAGAGCAAAATGATCTTGTTCTCCTCACCTTGGAAGTTATCTACAACGGTGCATCGAACTCCTTTGCAGTCCTCATATCGGTTACCCTTCAGCATCTATAAGGATAAAATACCAAGACATAATAGTACTTGGCATGTTGACATGGCAGTTCCTAGTGGAGGACGATTGGTTCGTACCTGCTTGAAAGCCAGAAGTTGGCCACTGTAGGTTGTAAGGATTGTGATGTCATCTGGAGTATATGCGTCCTGGCGAAGGAGCCTCTGACATAACGCAAGAACGAATTCTGCTTCAAACAAGTTCTTGTGACTTCGCAAATCCTCTTCCTATCAAGTAAGCGTTGTCAAATGAGAATGGGGAACAACAGAGTCAAAGAGTCTCTTTAATGGCGAAAGTGCTCACTTCAGCTTCCTCATGTGCATGAGTAAGGAAGAAAAGATTCTCTGACATCCCCGAAATGTTTGGGTAGTTCAAGACGGAATCATGATCAATGAGATCGGGATAGATATGGGGGGTGATTAGGCAGCTGATGGCTGGCCTCATTCGATATTGAATTCTCAGCCGTTTCACCTGGATCCCGTTGTTCACTGCACGCTCAAACATGCTCACGTCCAGATGGTATCTTCGCGCTAGCTCATACACTGTTGGATTTGGTCTGAGCTGCTGATGGTCCCCTAATATAAAGAAAATATTGCTATTACGAGGGTTAAGGGTGCCAAAGTAGTGGCGATTCTGCTCTGTGGTGAAGTCATGGATTACGGCCCGGTGATAAGTACAACGGCTCCTGCGATAGTAGAAAGGGTTTGTGACGAAGTGGCTAAACCACTCACTATCACACATCACTTTTCCACATAGTAAATATTATAAATTATTGTTTCAGAATTGCCACTACATTTAATTCCATCTCGTACATCTCGTTTTCTTGTTCTATGAGGCAGTTGTATCTTAAGAGGTAATACCCATGATTTGGCCACAGCATAACTTATCCATAGAAAACTGGCACATCTGAAGAAGAACTTGGGAAAGATTTGAAACCTGGTAACCTTAATTATTTGAACCAAAATCTTCCCATTAATGATGCAATATAGCGCCTATGGAGCGGCTATTTCAGTGGGGTCGGGGAGTGGCACTTTAATTTAAGACCTTAGTACTTTTTATGCAGGACTTGATCTTTTCCCACGGAGAACGTACGGGAAGACGCTCGAATTTCTCGCTTCATTTGCTTAAACAGATTAAGCAGTCCAAGGAGAATCCTGTTAATAGTTGAGAAGGCATGGGGTCTTCACTGGATGGAATGAGGATAAGGAAAACGGTTTATTTTAATTGTAAAAGCTGCCTCTGGTTCCCCGACTTAGGGATTAGCAGATTCGAGCGTGGTAAAATATATATGATCACCTAAGACTCTTACTGGACAAGCACTTCCATGGCGGGAAAAGAGATGCGATGAATGAATAAAATCACTATGGGGCTCAAAAGATGACAATCGAAGGAAGTACTACTCTACTACTCCTTGGAATACTTCTAGCCAGACCAAGAGAGACTCGATGGCAAGGGAGGGAAGCTCGATAACGATGCACAAATGCAGAATCTCTCTCGAAACCTTTTTTTAATCGCCTGAATGTCATGCTACACATCAGCACCTGACGTTGACCCCAACGCAGGGGCTGCGGGACAAGTCTACGAGGGCCACATGCTGGGAACCATCGTTTTTGGTTCCGACATCGTAAATGTGGAATTCCAATATAGGCCCAACGTGGGTGTGCCACTGGGTCTGTGGTGGGGTTCCAATGAAGCTCTGAACCTGTTAATGCTTTCAGCTTCGTGAATGCAGTCAAATATACGAAGTATTCTCGAAAAGAGCTTTAACGCATAGACAACCCATGTCATCCACATGTGGCTCACAGAGCCTTAGCGTGTCACAAAACCCTGGCAGTCAGTGTCTTAAAATTATGCCACACGATGCCTTTGTGTCAAGGGCAGTAGGGACTATCCAATTATGACTTTACTCACCGATCAGTATGAGCTGCTGGCAGGTCCGCGAGAGAGATATCACAAGATGGGCTTCCATGACTTCGGCAGCTTCTTCAACGATCACTGCGTCCGAAATGTAGAATAAGAGGTCATTTTGGATCTATTCTGTATAATTGTGATACCTTCAACATTTACAGATTCAATTTCATCTCGAGGGAGAAGGAAGTCATATATTAAGACAATGTATTCAGAATCGAGGGAGAATTGCTGATGATTTTTCAAGGAGAGACTCCTGCTTTATCAAAATTCCGTTCTCGATGGGCTGAAGCAAATTATGAAAATTTTTTCTTGAATGTCTCGATTCACAATTTGAGGTTGGAGATGCGCAACTGCTTCATCAGTCGCTATCGTTCCGCATCAACTGCTCTCCTAATTCGATCCACCGCGTCGAATTCGTTATTGCGGATGATGCTGAAATTGCTTCTGCTCGTTTTATCGTTTTCTCTGGTCTTTGCATGCCCTTCGCAGACTTAATTATCCTCTGCCCTTAAAAAAAAAACTATTTTAATGAAATTGACTAGGTTTGCGGTTATGAGAGACGCAAGAGAAAAAAAAATAACACAAAAAGAAACGATAGGCTCAAAATAAAGTCAAATGACGATTGGCATGAAACCAAGAAGGTTGGAACTTACATTCCTTTTGTAATCTATATGTTGCGTAATGAGGCACAGGCCTACAACAACAGCTCTCGATAGCTTCAAAGGAATTAGGCACAATTATGCCATCACCGCCTGCCGATTCCGAGCACCAGACCAAAAACTCTGAATCATTTTTTGCCTGCATTCTGAGAATTGGAATAGGGGCTTGGGGTTCACAGCGACGAAAAGAATAGCGATAACATCTAATAACTGTGCTGCGAAGAACTGACTCCATGCAATTATCGGAGCCTCATTTGTGCGAGTCCGCTTTCCATCCGAACTCACCGATTTTGTTGCCGATGTTTTGAAGCAATGCTTGGAACTTGGCAGCTCCAGAAGTGGTCATGCCGATCACCTCGGCCCCCTTCAATGCATACAGTTGGGCGATTCCCTGCAGGTCTCGGAGTTTATCCACGAATTCCAAATAGGTCCGGGATTTTTTCACGAGCTCATTTCGGGTCCAGACGAAGACTTGTCCGTGCCAGAAGGCCACCAACTCCAGGCACTCGGAGAGGCTCAATCGCCGAAGAGTCTGTTCGTCGAGGTTTCCCTGCTGAAGAATCCTGGGCTTTGGGGGGATCCTACGGGGATCGATCTTCAATAGAGGATGGATGTTCTCGAATAATTCCAACTTATTGCGGACTTTCGGGTAGTTGATTTCAGCGTAGGCGATCTTCGATTCTTCCTGGGGAGACGGATCTTCGATGCCCAGGTAATGCTCGAGCTCTGAAGCTGCATTCTGGAAATCCAGCTGCAGATTTTCGATTAATGACTCAAAATTTACCTTCAAATATGTGTCTGTTACATGGCTGGGCTTGCTGTCTTCAGCAGGGAAGATCGAATCGAAGTCGTCGTCGTCGACAAACTGTGCCATTCGAAATGCTTGCGCATCCTCGATCTCCTCGTCTTCGTCTTCGTATTCAGCCTTTTCGTGCTGCCGTCGCTGCATCGGTTTTCGAACTGGTTTCTCACGGGGAGCCACAGACTTCCGCCTCGTGAGATCTCGCTGGATGCCGTCCTGCATCCGTCGACATTCTTGCTGCAAGAGTCCCACTTTCTCAAATCCACTCAACCAATCAGAGAACTTCCGGATAACGCGATGCGTCTCTCCATTGATGATTCCCATGTCTTTCATGGTCTGAGGAGAGACCAATCCCAATCCTTCCTGGAGGAGGGAAAGCGTCTTTTGATAATACTTCACCTGTTCATTGAGGGCATTCATATCACATATGTGCTGCCTTCTCATCTTTGCGAGCACTATATCATCAACACTTGACTTCATCTGTCGAGTTTTCTCTTCCCATTTCCTAATGTGATATGCTTCCATGTGAGGAGACTTAGAACGGCCCCCGATGCGAACTATTTTCTTGGTAAACGACAAGATCCCCTCCAGGAACTGATCCAGGGCATGATTTGTGAAGCAGATGACAAGGATGGGGCCAGCTCGTTGCGTTAAATTATTTTTCAGCAGGGTCTCCACAACTTTGAGTCCTATGTATGTCTTCCCCGTGCCAGGAGGGCCTTGAATGACGGAAAATTCTTGAGTCAGAGCGCTCTGAAATGCCTGCAATTGTGACTCATCAAGGCCAAAGTCTTCAGCAGGAGGCCAGTATGCTTTGGCTAGGAGACGAACCAAACCAAGGCGACGACGAGTAAAGGAGAAATTATATTGAGCTGGAAGGAATTTTGGTGGAGCATCTTTCATTGCCCCATAAACAATGTAATCGGTGAGAGGAAAATTCTCTTCATCACATTGCTGGAGGGAGCGTAGGACATGTCGGTATACCTCAAAGTATGCTGATGATGATTCGATGATGATCTTTTCACCCTGCATCCATGCATCAAGGTCGAACATGTCACTTTGTGGACTGATGGTGAGTAGGCCTTTCTTCAGTTCATCAGGGTCTCTTTTCGATATAGTCCCAAATGTGAGATGGTGGAAGTCAAGATCGGCGAAGCAAAGGAGAGACCCCGTCATGAATCGCTTGGTAATGTCCCATTTCACCCTAGAGAAACGAGAGACATCAAACTTGAAGATGAGGTGGATTCCATAGAAGTCGTGATCCATGTGGTGAAATGTGACTCCAGTGTAGACACGGATGTCTTGATGTCTGAATTGTTTATTCCTCATTCCCTCCAACATATATTCATTGATTCCATTCCGTAAAGGAGCGACAAAATCCTCTCGTAGAAGCCGGAACTGCACGTCTAGATAATGCTCGACGTTCATATAAGCACCTTTCGTGATGTTGGATCGAAGGAAGGGAAGTTGGCCTTCCAGGATTTCCCCAGAAGTGGGGATGATAGGAATTTCCCGAAAGTTGTTCGGAGCTGATTCGAGATGAAGGCGATTCAGACGTTCTTCGACCATGCCCTTCATCGCATGAGGAGAAACCAAGGTCCTGTTCGCATCTTGAACTGATGCGAGGAGTTCGGCAGATTTGCTTTCCAGACCGTCTACATCATATTTCCTTGCCTTAAGAAAGAGCACGTAGTTGTTACAAGCATGAATTGCTTTCATCATGCTGCCGGCAGAGACACCTTGGTACTTCGTGGCAAGAGCCTTTAGTATCAGAAAGAACTGCTGCAGCAGCTGGCATCCCACTTCAGTTTTGGAGGGGTTGCACTGAAATTCAAGCAGAACTCTGGAAGAGCAGACTTCTAGGAACTCGCTCTGTAGCAGCATGGTGAGAGCAGCATTCACCATATTTTCACATCCGTCCACACAGCATATTTTTGCAAACACTCCCATGATAAGGACGACCCAATTACTTTTTTGGAAAGTTTCTGGATTAGAGAGGAGTCTCCGAAAACTTTCATTGGGATCCATGACTGCCATAACTGCTTCCAGTGGAGACGATTTTGTTGCAATCTCAAGCAGCTGTGTGTATTCAATGTCATAGGGTTGTTTGATGTCTTTAGATGTCCCAGTTGCTCGCCCTCTTCTTGCTCCCATGTGTCGGCTTCTTGAGCTGGTTTCAGTTCTGCCTTGCTGTCCACTCATCTGGCCTAACATGAAATGTATGAAGTCATGTGGTTACGAGTTACAAGCCTGCAGAAATATGCTGTAGTTCTATCTTTAACAAAACATTTAAGACCTGATTAAAGGTTATCTGTATCGGCTTTTGCATATCAATACGGCAACAGCACCATGATAGCGAAATGGATGACTCACTCAGTCCCAATCGACGAATTGGATAAGAATTGACGAAAGGGTTGGCGATATTGGGAAGTCGTCCCCATTGCATCATGGATTCATGGGATTTTAATGAAGTACGATGATTTTGTTGCCTCGGTTCCACCCTGGCTTTGTAGCATGTAGTAAAGGATGATAGGTTCACATGCGTCCTCGATTTGCATGCGAACGGAGGACGATTTTGCTGCTTCCTGCGCATGTTGGTCCTGGAGTTATTGGAAGGTCGATGGTGATGACGCCGTCCGCCCCACATTCCGGTTTCATGATAAGATGAAGAATAGGGATCATCTTCCTGCCCCCACATATCTTCTGATTCATGATGGTGCCGTCCGCCCCACATTTCGGTTTCTTCATAAGATGGAGAATAGGGATCATCTTCCTGCCCCCACATATCTTCTGATTCGTGATGGGTCCTTCCTCGAAAAGGAGGTTTGAAGCCTCGCCTCCCTGTCCGTCGCTGCATCTTCCAGTCACTTTCTACATGTGATCATTTTTCAAGTAGCATATAAAACAGTTAAATTAAACCGTCTTCACGCGTTTGATTAACCCTTTCACGCATGGTGTCCACGAGAGTGGACGGCAACTTTTTTGGCGATGATGATGGTTTTTAAGATATGGTACCCATACCTAGAAACTTTTGACGTATGCAGTCATCTCAAGGGCAAATAGTCTCTTCTGTGTTGCTTTCTGGCGGCTAAAAATTCGACCACTACGGCAAAGTACCTCCTTAAACGTGAAACTAAAAAGGAGTATTTTCATTTTGCTCGAAAAAATTCATTCATATGTGAAAGGGTTAAAAGCATCTAAGGAGCCAATATCTCAAACAACGAATTCGCTGAAATGAACCCATAACATTGAAGGTTTAACCGTCTCGGATATAAAATCGGTAATGGTACTTCTATTCAGGGCTGTACTGGTGTGGTGACGCCCAGGCACATTTTCAACGGGATTGGGTGCATCTGAACTACGCGACTCCCGCAACGAGGGAATAATGACACGTGTTGACCGTTTAGGGTGGCAGACAAAGGTAGGGGAACAGCGTTCTCGCAAGTTTTCTCCTGTTTCTGCCCGTTTCTACGCTACGCCACCGCATAAAGTAAGCTTATCATTAACGTTATCCGGCAGAAGCCTTCCCTGCCGTGCGGTGGGACACCCCAGGAACTTTATTTAACTAGGATTACATTCCTGCTTCGGTTTCACTATAAACAAGGAATGATACACTTGAGAGCCGCAGCTCCAACGAATGACGCCCGTCCTCGAGATTCACTCATCAACGTACACTAAATTCCCAAGACAAGGCTGTCCTTTTCATATGGACACTATGGCCATATGCTTGAGATAAACGGTACTCTATATCACTTCCCACTTTTATTTCTAAGATAAGCCATACGGAAAGCTCTCGCAAAAAGGGAAAAATAACCGTTTGTGAGGGTGACTCGTGTAAAAACGATTTTGTTCAGAAAACAAAAAGAAATTTGTGCCTAGTGCCTGAAAAGGTACGCAAGCACACAGACTCACCATCACGACGCCATTCTCAGGAAGAGGTGACGAACGGCGCCGGTCAAAGTCGACCTCAGAAATTAAAGAGCCCGGTCCTGATAACGAAGTCAACTTCGCTTATCGGCCAGCCCCTTGAAAGCTTCATCGAGTTCAACATGCTCGATTCTTATTGCTCTCAAGGTCAGGACAGGCGCTTCCGGTTAAAACTGAAAAGGTGCCTAAAACCAAACTGGCAGGAGTTCCGCACCTGCTGAACAAAGGAACACAACATATGAAAGTGTAACGCATTAGATTTGAACGATGTAGGAATAAACTTGAACCCTCAGGTCACGTCGTTTTACACGCCACGTATGCCACGTCGCATCGACCATGGCCATCATAATAGAATCCGAGGGTGCATTAACGATGGAGGTGGCTTCGTTGTTGAGCGAGTGCTTTTGGATTGGCCTTGAATGAGAAAACCCAGCGGATATTGGGAATCTCTTGAGTCGATGTGAGACATAATTAGGTTGGATGGAACTGGCGTGGATAACCTTTTTTTTTATCTGCCTAATTCTTTACTAGTCAGAACAGATTTACGCAGGTTGAGAACGAGATAGTCACAGACATTGGAATGGCAACAGTTCCAAATAAAATACAAAATTTCACATTAAAAATTTTCATGAGAATTCTGAAGCAGAGAATAAGGCGTGCCTTCGGTGATCCATCGATTGGAAGCAGCTGAGCGGGCTGCCTCGACGTCGTGCTTGCGAGTTATAACGCGAGCGGGTCGTTTGCATGGAAAACCTGCGGAACTGTTTTCGTGATGGGAATCGATGTCAGGAGTTCCCAGAAGGAACAGCAGCGGGCGCGAGAGAGGGAGAGCGCGTTCGCTGGCTCGGAACCCGAGACCCATGTTTGCCGAGGCTCCCCCCGCTCCCTGCGTCCTCACTGGAAAAGGAGTCAAGAGGCTCAAGATTCCGGACGGATTGCCTCTCATTCAGGAATGAGAGTGAGAGGCAATCACCTTATCGCTGTTTTTTTTATGGCGGGGGGGAGGGTCGTCCATACCTTTCTCCATATCCATTTTTCCATAGCGATTTCACTGGCTGTCTGCTCGTATGGCACTATGGCCTTCGTCCCTGTGTCCATTGTTCCTGATGGCCGCGGGGCGGGGCGGGGCGGGGGTCCGGTTCCGGAGGTTCTGTAGCAGATAGCATTCGTTCACCCTTTTCTTATGGCTTTACTCGTTTCCGGTACTTCGCCAAATTTACTGACTCTCACGAGGAAGCCCAAATACCCCACGTATTATTCTAGCTGGAGGCATTCCGAAGCGTCGTCATACAGAAGTTAAAATTGAGAAAAAAAAAAGACGTAAATTCACGGTATCTCTCGATGCTCTCTTTCTCGTCTGGTCCAGGTTAGGCGGGGTCTAAAATGCCTACCCCGACGTGCCGCCGCTGGTATGAGATGAGTGGAGGCTTAAGCTAGGTTCACACCAACCGCAAGGTATAACATAACTAACATAAAAATAGCACAGCACCACTGCTAGATAAAAGGGGGGGGGGGACAAAGGGGGTTGTTGCCCCGGGCCCCACTCTCCCAGACCCCCCCCTCCCCCCGAAGGAAATTAAAAACGTCAAGTATTTGCGGTAAGTAGCGGGGGGGGGGGGGGGCCAAGAATTCACTTGCCCCGGGCCTTAATCCGGCCCTGCACAGCCCCTAAAGATTCTTGTTCACACTGGCGTCGCGCTATGTCATCAATATGGTGCATCACAAAGGCCTCTAGGCAGCGGGCTGTGTGAAGTCCGAGTAGACCTTGCTTAATAAAAATCCCTATTGTTCCCTTTTTCCCTATTATGGATGTTGATGCCCTGCTTTTGACATCGATCCTTCCAACCGTGGCATGTCACGTTCGGAAGCAGAGAAGAGATCGTCAGAGACGAAGGCGGGTATGGGTTCGAGAAATCCTCACTCCCCAATAAGTGCTCATTTCAGGCTAAGTAAGGCCTAGTTAAATATACGCGACAGTACAACCTCGCATAAAGGTCCTGCATCTAGGGGGCATTTTTAGGTACCAGCGGTTCTCGTCCAGGTCGGTTCATAGACCACTGGCCAATGGGGACTATAAGGGGTTCCTCCGTGCAAACCACCATGATGAGTTTGACGACACACATCTCTGCTCTGATCGGCTGAGCGTGTCATGGGTTCCTTGTGCGCTTAGTCTAGGGCTCAACTCCTCGCACAGACCTTCGAGCTGGGGCCTGTTCCTCGCCTGTGCTAAACTTAAATCTAAATCTAAATCTAAATCTAAAAGCAGTCTAAAAACAAAAAGTCTATTCTTCGCCCTGACCATTTAGACCAAGATTTAGCCTAAGATTTAGATTTAGATTTAGATTTAAGTTTAGCACAGGCGAGGAACGGGCCCCAGGGGTGTCAAACATAACGGCCCGCCGTCGGTTCGTGAAATTTCCGCTTGGATCGACTTTCAGCACAAATTTCAATGAAAAATTATGGGTATGGCCCGCAGACATCTGCAGGGTAAGTAATGCGGCCCGCCGACCGATTCGAGTTTGACACCTCTGCCTTAGAGGACCCCATCTCGCCCGTACCTCGTTCGCCTCCATCCTCTCTGCCCCGCTCCAGGCGACAGTTCTCCCCTGCTGAATCCTCAAAGGAATCTCCTTGTCGCTCTTCCTCTCCGAGCTCCTCCTGTGCAAAGAAAGGACACCTGCTCCTCCTACAACTCCGCTCCTTATCTCGCCCCTTCTCGATCTACGGGGTGTTCATAAAGTAACATGACAACTTTTTTTTCTTCTCGTCGCTAACTGAAATTTAACGCTGCAACGCTTAATCTGCTGCAAAAAGCACAATTCCTCACGTCTCACCTGCTAGCACATCTCAACAGCAGGATTCGTTTTGAGCCTCAAGAAACCGTCCGACGTGCCGCGCACCGCAAACAAATGGACGGAGTCAGGGATGAGAGGCAAAGCTTTCCTCGCGTATGACCCCCATCGTGAAATTCGTAGTGAAGGGCATGGGAATCAATGAGGATATTAATACCACAAGGGACGTCCTTGCGTTCGAGTACGTGGCTTCCTTCGCTGAGAACGGAGTCGTTAGGATGCGCGATACTAAGCCCGGCGCACCTCACCATATCATCCTTGTCGAGGCTGTTAATTCCCATAACGACATCATCAAAGATGGCATTCTGGCTGACTGCGCTTGAGGGTTCAAGAATTCCTTCTCTCATCCAGAATCTCACCCAGAATCATCTAGTGTTTTAAGTGCCTCCAATATGGACAATGCAAGGCTGACCTTGACGCTTG